TTTTTGGTTTAATAATAAAATTTTTCTTATTTGTTTTTTCTGGTTATTATTTTTTTTCAAAACACTTTTGGTCTTATTATTTGAAGAACGGAATAAAGTGCAGTTTTGAGCATATTATCCAAAAACGTTCCCGAAAACAGCATATTTTTTAATTTTTATAATTATTTTCATTAAATTGAGCAAAATAATTCTTTTGTGAATAGGATTTTTTATTTTATCCAAAAAGATAAAATGCCATTATTTCTTTTTCAAAAAACGATTATTTAATTGAGGTTTGCAGCCCTGATCTGAATTAAAATAAAAATATTTAAAATGTAAAATACAAACAAAAATTTCAAACAAATAAACAAATACTTTTATAACAGCAATACTTTTTAAATTGTTAAGTATAATAATACATATAGTTAAAATAAAGTGTATATTCAACAACATTTTATCATTGAAAATATCATTTCAATATTAACTCAATATTATTTAATATTGAATAAGGTACATTATTTGAATTGACAATAATTTTACATATCTCAACTATTTCACCTAAACAAAATAAATAAAACTCTTCAATTAAGGAAATGAGACTGCATTGAAAGCACATGCCTCTTCACATGCGTGACACTCAATACAATCATCTGGTCTTGCAACGAATGATTTGTTGTTTTGCAGCTCGAGGACATTAGCAGGACATGCTGATACACAAGCACCGCATCCAGTACAGTTGTCTACGTTAATTGTTGGTGGCATTTGGTGAATATCAGTTTTCATATTTTGTTTATATAGCCCAATTAAATACAAACTATAAATGACAATATTTAGTGAAAAAAGAACATCTGGTGATTTTTTGTGATTAATTCTATTCTTAATTATTTCATTTTTATTTAAATGGTTTTAATTAAATATATAAATGTTATAATTTTAAGTGTAATTGGTGTTGAACGGTTTTAAAATTACAACACAGCAATACAGTTGGTAGTTAATGCCAAATTAATACAAATGATTATTTATTCTTAATATTTACTTCATTATCATCACTAAAAATGTTATTTTATTTTTTTATTCAATTAAAATTTGATCACTTATTTTACATCACAAATTTTTATATTTTTTAATATGTGCCAGAAATAGTTTGATAAACATATTATAATTTAAATCATTTAATAAAATAAAACATGTGTTAAAATGATAAGAGGTTTTTTTTACACAAATCAACTCTATACATAGATTTAAGTTTATTCAAAATTTTATAAGAAATAATATTATTGCCAATATTTAATTGAACAATATTAAGTTTTTCGTTGTATATTTATATATATAATGTTAAGTTTGATTATATTGTAACTACACTTATACAATAAAGCAAAATGAAATAAATCTCAACAACATTATAATAATTATCTATTTAAATGTAAAATAGACATCTTGGACAAGTGGTCCAAAACGGAAACATAAACATTGTTCATTTGAGGCCTAATTTCAAATCTTGCAGTTGTAATTTTTCTTTTTAATTCAGATTTCATAAAAAGATTTCAAATCATTTGTTGACAATCTTAATAAAACAACTAAAATGCATTTGCCGGGACTCGAACCCGGATCTCCATATTGGAAGGGTGGAATTTTGCCCTCAGACCACAGATGCTTTTTTATTTTTTTTAATAATGTGACATATTTATATATTATCACATTACAAACATGTTTGTTATTTATAAATGTTTTGTTAAAATAAAATAGTTAATATTTTTAAACCTCCCAAAATTATAATAATAATAATTATTGTTGTGTCAAGAGTAGGCTTTTTGAAAACAATAAATAAATAAAAATACTTTATTAATTGGTTTTAGATGTTTGATTTGAAATATATATATATCATGTTAAAAACCTTTTTAGATTTATAATTCTTGAAAAAATTGACACTTTTTATAATTCACGTTTTGTTCAAAGTTTTTATAACGATACATCATTTAACAAATAATAATAAAATAACCTTGATGTAATTTTATAAATTCACAAAAAAATAAAAATTTAAAATAATATCAACGTTTTTAAACACCATTTTGTAAATGCCAACGTCATTTTAACATTAAAAATAACAATTTCATTTTTATTATTATTTTGTTAATTAATAACAAGATTCTTTGTTCTGTAAATGTCTGATGCTGTGATTTTCAATCACAAAAAAATTCATCAAAATATAATGGTTTTGTATAGTAAAAAATGAGATTAATATTAGTTTCGATTATTATTTATTTTTCTTATAAATATAAAACTTGTATTCTAAAATAATAAATGAGTCAAATAGACAGTTATAATATGATGATTGTTTCACAATTTTTGAAGTCTCTAAATGACTTTATCCACATCGAATTTGTATGTAAAAAGTACAAAGACAATTTATCTAAATTTCACTACAACCCGATTCCTATAACTCGAAAAACTCAAAAATACTTTCCAAATTTGGAAACCCTACATTTATATTCTAAATATTCTTCAAAACTTTCTTTCAAAAAATTGTATTCTGTTGTTGTTCATTTTAATGTGAAATTTGATGACATTCAAAAATTGCATATTAAGAATTGTCCAGTCGAAAACGTTCTTTATAAAAATATTGAAATAACAAGAAAATATATAAAATCTCAACAATTACCACCAGAAGCATTTTTTAATGTATCACACGACATATATTATATAAATCTAACCAACTTTGTCGTTCCTCAAAAAGTTCTTTCTGTTAATCGTTTTTCGTTTTCATATTGTGCGATGAATTCAATTCAATGACTGTTTCAGGTCGATCGACAAATACGCGTTTTATTGTGTGCGATTACTATCAAAAATCGAACTTCCAGAAAATATTACACAACTCAAAAGAAAGTGCTTTGGGCACTGCTTGTGTTTGAAGAATGTTGCAATTAAAAGTCGCGTGAAAGAACTTCCAATAGAAATGTTTTGTGGATGTAGTTGTTTGACTTTTATCAGTTTGCCTACAACACTCACTTGTATCAAGAGAAATGCTTTGAAGGTTGTTTTTGGGTTGCCAATATCGGTATTCCAGAAAAACGTGAAATTATAAGGAGAAAGGTGTTTTAAAATGATATTTTATCTACTAATTATATACATGGAAAATAAAATCAATAT